GATAGATAGATAGATAGATAGATAGATAGATAGATAGATAGATAGATTTTTAAAGTCCAGAATGGTGCCTATACTCCCAGTACTGGAGTGATGAAAGCAGGAGGATCTCTGGGACTTGATGGCTAGCCAGTCTAGCCTGAGTGCAGCATCCTCTGTGAGTGTAACCCTCTCACCTCAAAAACCAACAAATAAAAAACACAAAAAACATGGTAGACAGTTCCCAAGGGGTGACCGCTGCATCCTCCACATACATGCACATACGTCTTCATATACATGTACACTAACATGCATGCCCATGTATACATACAGACATTCCAAAGTGACACGTGAGATGCTTTTTAAAAAAGCAAAGCAGACAATTAATAAGATAGAAATAAGCCAATACAGGAACCTACTGGGAGCATTAGCAAAGCTATACACTAGAGAGAGGACAGTATAATGCTCCTTACAGAAGTGAAGCTATTATTTCCTGAGTCTTATGGAACAACCACTCATAACATTTCAACATATTTGTAGAAATCTGTACTACGCCAATTAACAATCACTTCTAGCTAAAGTAAAGGGCTAGTGTAAGTACTGATATCTCCTAAAACTGTGGCTAGAGTAAAATGAGGTGGCTTCAGTGCCAATGTCCTAAAAATGATAAGTAAATAAAACAATTGAAAGCTTGCGTTTTTATACTTGAATAAAAAGTCTTGACCCTCTGAACATTACTCATCAGGACCGGAGAGAGATACACAAGCCACTAGTCATTTAATAATCCCTAGCACCTAGCTTATGGTGGATTTTGATCCTTTGCAACACCTTCACCAATTCTTGTTATTTCTAGCAGTGTTTGTTTGAATGAGAACATCCCATAGACTCATCTATTTCAATTCTTGGTCCCCAGTTGGTGGAAATGTTTGAGAAGGACAAGGAGGTGTGTCCTTGTTAGAGGAGTCATGTCACTGGAAGTTGGCTTTGTTGGTTTCAAAAGACTCATGTGATTAATGGTTCTCTCTCTCTTTCTCTCTTCTCTCTCTTCTTTCTCTCTTCTCTCTGCCTCACGGTTGTGGATCAAGTTGTGAGCTCTCAGCTGTTCGTTCTTTCTGCTATCATGGACTCTAATCTTCTGAAACTGTAAGCCAAATGACACACCTTCTTTTATAAGTTGCCTCGTGATGTTTCATCACAGCAATGGAAAAGCAACTAAGACAAATACAGTGTTTTGCAAATATTAAGTGCGGCCCTGGCTTAGTGATCATAGGAAGTAGCTAGGCTTCCTGAAGTTCTGCTTCCTCATCTAAAACTGTGGGCCATACCTTGCTATCCACACTGGTCCACAGTATGTGCTTGGCAGTGCTGGTTTCTCTCTGTCATTTCCCACTCCTTTCACGGGTTCTGGCGCTTGACCTCTCACTGCTGAGCCTCCCGTGGGACCTGGACCTCAGTGCTGCGCTCCAGCCATCAGACAAAGACACAGGATACTACTGATGACTTTGTGTGGCAAAATCTCAACATCTTCAGGAATTTTGTTCGGTGGGGACCCTGTGGACAAGGAACAGCACAGTCTACTGGCTGACAGTTTCCCATCCAGGTGATAACTGTTCCCCTTAACTCTGCTCCACAACCTTCCTCTCAGTTTCAGATCAGCTTGTTTAGTCCATGGATGACAGCTCTCTTCCCTCACGTGTTCCACTTACAGACAGCATGTTCTTTGGATTTTTACCAGTCTTAACCCACACTCTACATGACTTTGCAGTTCGAAGGCCTCTCTTGTGGTCTACATGACTCATTCTGGCTGTCAGTTTGCCCTGATTGCTGTGGGAAAAATACCATGAACTAGGTTATACATGATAGAAATTTCTTGCTCATAGTTATGGAGGCTGGGATGTCTTCAGTCAAGGTGTTCAAGGTCTGGTGAAGGCTTCTTTCCTCATTTACAGATAATCACCTTCTAGCTATATCTCCACCTGTTAGGAAAATAAAATCTCTCCTCATTCTCTGTCTGTCTGTCTTCCCCCTTCTCTCTTTCTCTGTGTTTCCTGTATATTATTTATGGGTGCATGTGTGTATATGTGTAGAGATCAAAAGACCCCCCTCTGGTGTCACTTAACAGATGTGGTCTACCTCTTTCAGGCCAGCTCTGTCATTGGTCTGGAGTTCACCAAGTAGGCTAGGCTGGCTGGCCAGCTTGTCCCCAGGTGTGGTGGTCTGAACAAGAATGGTCTCCATGGGCTCTTCTACTTAAATGCTTAGTCATCAGGGAGTGGCACTACCTTGAGGAGGTTTAGGTGTGGCCTTGTTGGAGGAAGTGTGTCACTGTGGGTGGGCTTTGCCATTTCAAAAGCCTGTGCCATGCACAGTATTGCTTTCTTCCTGCTGCCTGCAGAACTGTAAGTAGAAGGTTCAGCTATTTCTCCAGCGCCAGGTCTGCCTGTATGCTGCCGCATTCTCCACCGTGAGGGTAACAGAGTAACTACTGAAACCGTAAGCAAGCCCCAATAAACTCTTTCTCTTGTAAGAGTTGCCATGGTCATGGTGTCTCTTCCCAGCAATAGAATGGTGACTGGAACAACAGATAACCTCCTGTGTCTGCCTCCCCACCACTGGGGTATAAGGGAGTGCTACCATGTCTGTTTTGCTTTTTCCTCTTCACGTGGGCCAGGAATCAAACATGGGTGTTAATGTGTCAAGTGCTTTACCAACTGAGCCACCTCTCCAGCCTGTCCTGTTTCTTATAAGGATAGTAATCTCTCTTATTAAGGTTTTGCCTTCTGGCACCACACAATGCTAAGTCAATAGCAACAGCTCAATAGCAAATTATTGTAAAAGAGAATGTGACTGGATGTGAGGGTCTTTGGGTTGGGGACTGTCTCTTTGTGATCATTTAATGAGGTTTTGGTCTTCTGTCCTTCACCTCCCATTTGTTCTCAAGCCTGTGAACATCCAACCTATCCTATCCGCTGGAAGGAGTCCAGTGTTTCTCCCACCACACATTTTTACTCTGCAAGTAAAGTGGCCTAACTTTATAAGAAAGTTGACTTCAAAAAGAAAATTTAGGAGATTCCCAAGCCTTCCACTTCTGCTTCATTCTTTCTAGATCATGAATATCCACCTAAGATTCATTTCTCCTCATGAAGGCAGTATCCAGAGACAAGAATTTAAAATGAGACATCCCAGGCTTGAGAGATGGCTCAGTGGTGAAGGACACTGCTGTTCTTCCAGAGGAGCCAGGGTCAATTATTCTCAGCACTTACATGAAACAGCAGCTTACAACTGTCTGTAACTCCAGTTCCCGGGAACCCATCTCCATGTTGAAAGTCTGAAATACTGAAGTCACGGTCTCTAATACAGACATTTTAAAGAAAGGAACTTGAAAGTTGAATGGTTGCCAAGTCTCATCTAGAAAGAAACAGCTGGGATCAGCAGGAAGAACCAGGTACTTGGCAAGAATTGGGCTGGGCAGACCACCGGAGAAGAAAGGCTTGGATACAAAGAATTCCAGTGTTGATTTCGCTTGCGCTATCCCTGGCTATTTCTGAAGCTGACTTTAATCTTCACCTGAACATTCTAGAGTTTCTGACTACTATAAACATCCAGGGAACGGGGAACACAGTGGGTTGAGCTGGGTAGATGTGGCAACTTTGGCAGCTACTGTGGTATCCCCTGGCTTACTGCCAGTAGTTCCTGCCAAGAGTCGTTAATCAGCAGTGTTAGACTATTGCTGTGGAGGTAGATGGTACGGTCATTCTGCCACAGCGCCTTTATTCCCCGCTGAGTTCTGACTAAGAAGGCTCAGAGAAAAGCCTGCTAATGGCTGCCCACTAGCACGCGGCTCTAGAAAACACATCTTTGATTTTACCGCGCCTCAGACCTGAGATGTTATACTTCGCTATCTGCTGCCTTGTTTAAATCTACGGTGTTTAAGTTACATTAGCCAGGAGTGGTGGTGCACCCCTTTAATCACAGCACTCAGGAGACAGAGGCAGGCAGATCTCTGTGAGTTCGAGGCCAGCCTGGTCTACAAAGCAATTTCCAGGACAGCCCAGGGCTACACAGAGAAACCCTGTCACAAAAAACAAAACAAAAATACAGCTCTTTTCTTTTAATCTGTAAATTGTTTTATACGTCATTACCAACTGTGTTGTAGGTAATGACTAATGAAGGAGGAGGAGCATGTATCTATCTTCAAGTATTTCTGCCTAATTTGGCTAAAAAAAAAAAAACAGCTAAAAATAAACAGCAGCCAGGCAGGGTATGAGCCCACCTATAATCCACTTGGGAGGCAGAGGAAGATTGATGTGAGTTCAAGGCCAGCGTTTACAAAGCAAGTCCAGGACAGACAAGGTTACACATGGAAGCCCTGTCTGGAAAAAAAAAAAAAAGCAAGCGCAAAGTCCATTAATTAATGAGAGAACATTTAATTTATAGTAAGAACTCAGAAAATAGGTTGCAATTGTCTGTGAGGAAAATGGGTGATGTAGGCTGAGCCTGGGGATGGAGGGGAGCAAAGGAGATGCTCAAAGCATTAAATAAAGGAAGTCTATTGAAAAGGATGAAGGGAAACAGCAGAGGAACAGTCTACTGCTATAAACTCTGTTCCTCTGGGGCCATAAGCCTAAATAAACCCTTTCTTCTGTAGCTGTTTTTGATCATGGTATTTCATTGTAGCAACAGAAAAGTAACCAATTCAAAGGGAGGAGGAGGAATGCCAGGCAGCATCCTCCAGCTGGTGAATAGCACTCAGCAGGTCTGAGAAGTACACACGGTTCAACTTAGCTCAACTTCTATGCAATTTGCCCAGAAAAAGGGAAGCTCTAACATCCCACCTTCTTTTTCTCTGTTTTAGACATTGTGACCCCCCCTTCCCCACTTTTAAACTACTCACTTATTGGTATTCTCAGTTTATTGTGTTTTTAATCAATTACATTTTTGGTGGCTGTTGTGTGACAAAACTTATCCTGGGGAGACACAACACATTTATCACCTCACTCCAGACAGGGATCCCATGACAGACCAAAGTGAATAGCACAGAAGTCAAACTTGGTGTAGCAGTGAGTTTTATTGGGGTTACTTACAGGAGAAGAAACGACTTAAAGACAGTTGCATCGCCAAAGCCCGCTCCAGCATGGGTGACGGCTCACAAAACTAGGAACCTGGAGCATACTGCACAGCCTACAGCGAGATCAAAAGGATGTAGAGTGTCCTTTCCAGGTGCCTCAGTTGCTCTAAACCTCTTCCAGGCAGCTCCTCTGGTTTCTGGTCCTTCTAGACAGCTGGCCTGGCAGCAGCTCAACTTGTTCGAGACTCAACCTTTGTTGCTTACTCTGGCAGGGAAGGGCCTAGTGAATCTAGTCAGATTCGGGGACTTCCTGAAGCTATTTTGAGTTGCTTCCTTTCTTGCCTAAGGAGCTTCCTGCAGGAAGGAAAATGTTACACAACTGTAGCATCTATTGTCTAAGTATTAAATGAGAGTTCATACAGACAGGGCTATCCCTGGCACACAGTAAGCCCTCAATCATCACAGCTCATTCATATGTGTGGGTGCGTATTTCAGCAAACACTAGAGCTTGGATGATGAACTGGGTTCTCAATGCTATGCTGCTGCATTTGCCCAAGATGCTCCCACAACCCCTCCATTGCTTTAAAATCCAGAGAGTGAGTTTTTAAAGCACTTTTCTTCCAACACATGCTCTATGGCTGGAGTACCCCACAACACACAGAGAAAGTCTCTGTGCTCCCCCCCCCCCATGGTCCCACAGCTGCACAGGCCCTCTTGGGAAGGATTCCCTCTTTGGTTCTTCCATTAGTCTCCAGAGAGACCATCAGAATGTGGAGACCATCTGCTTTTCATAATCTGTAAAACTCAGTTTTGCTTCTGTTTAAAATGCTATGAGTCATATTTAAAACTGTTTTCAGATCGGTATGACTGTGCAGTTTTTGAGTTACTGGGAGAGTTGAGCTTTGCGAGTGTCCAGTGTGTATGTGTGTGTGTGTGTGTGTGTGTGTGTGTGTGTGTGTGTGTGAACATCAATGCATGCATATACATGTACATACCATCCAACCAGGCACCCCCACGTGAGCTGCATCACAGAGACGGCCACTAGAGTGCCACCTTCAGCAGGAGTGCCTCAGAGCTGCAAAGCAGAGCTTGCAGACTGAAGCGGTCTCTTTTAAGGGCCTCTACATTGTTTGGGGGCAGAGGAGAAAACGCTGCCTAACCCTCAGGCCAAACAGACTTATAGGGGTTTTGCTCTTTTTTTATATAGGTCTTTGGGTACTCTCCAAGTAGATTTTTCTTAATGGTATGAACTGTGGGTTCACAACATTTATTTACATATTTATAAATCTGCACCAATGTATCTGTCTTAGAACCATTTGTTGAAAAACAGCATTCCTTCCCCTGATGAATTGCATAGGTACACTTATGAAAAAAAAATCACCATAATCACAAGGATTTGTTTCTGGACTTTTAATTCAGTTTAACTGATGTTTCTTTTCTTATAGGATGTCTTAATCATTGTAGCAACATAATCAGATGTTTCTTGCTATTTTGTTTGTTGGTTTGTTTGTTTTCAGAAATCTGTAAGCCGGTCCTAAGATTCACATACAATCCAGTAGAACAAATAACCAAAACAACCTTAAAAGAAGAGATTAAAGTGAGAAGAGAAATTCTCAATTCCAAGCCATCCCTCTTTCCAGGTCTATAAAGTTGACAACCAAGATTAGCCACCCCAAGGGCTGACTGTGATCAAATCGCATTCTGTGTATGCGTGGAAGCTCTCAGTGAAACTCCCTACGCTCTTCCTGTGCCCAGGTAACATGTACTGAGAAATGTGCAGGTAAAATCCGTGGAGAAAGAGAAAAGAAGAGGAAGAAAATGCATGCTTGGGTACCCTCTGAGACCCGGAGCCTCTCTATGCTGTGCGCTCAAGATCATTTGAGCGAAGGTAGCTTCCACACCTGAGGTCACATTGTAGCTGTGTGACCAACTTTTTCCTTTTGCTTCAGTCTGGGACCCTAGCCCACTGAGAACACCACTCATGCTTCAGGTGAGTCTTCCCTCTTTGGTTAGCCCTTCCTGGAAATACCCTTATGGGCATACCCAGCGATGTGCTTCTGTGGTTATTCTAACTCCAGGCAAATTGACATTGGAGATTAACCGTGTGCAGACAGGCTTCTTCCTCTTCCTGTTTTGTGTGGCAGAGACTTCTCTCAATGCTGCCTGACACCTGATAGATGCTGAATGTAGGGGAGATTGGATTGAAGGTGCCCTGCCCACCCCTTCCTTCCCTCAGCCAAGAACACTCGAGAGTTAAGGATGCACTTTGAAAGGAGTTTTTAATTTTTCCTTAGTAATCTGGAGAAAAGAGCTCGAGGATCCAGTTTGAGCCCTGGTCTTGGCTTTGACCAGAGGAAAAGCCCTCTCTGCCCCTGGTTGGCAGCAGATTGGTGAACCAGCAGGCATGCCAGACACGTTTCTTCTGTAGAGTGATGTGCCGTGCAGTGTTCATACGCTGCATGTTGGTATAGAAGATCGCTGACACCAGAGCTCGGAAACTTGAACAAAACCTCTTCCCATGACTCTCTGTAGAAATAACTTGTTCTCACCTGGCATCCCATCAGCGTGAGTGCTTTAATCCAAATTGTGATGTAAAGAGAAGAGTATTTTTGGTGAAATGTGTTAATCACTAAACTTGGGCTTTTCTATCCTTTCCAGTCTTCTGACATCTCTGTTCAGTATACTCTTGTGCTTTGGTTTCTATTTTGTGAAGCAGACCTTTTCCCCTGTAACTCCACGAGGAACCTGAGGTCCTGGAAGCCTCGGGTCCGGGGAACCACAGACCCTGTCATCTGTGCCCTGTTCAGCCTTTTGCCACCACTCTCTGCTGACTGTGTGTTCTCATGATCACATGGGGTACCCTGTCTAGCTGAGGTCCTCTCACTCCCAGGAGCACATCTAACTTTAAAAAGGTAATTACTGTTCTCTTTTGTTTCGTAAGTGTTGTTATAGTATTGGATTTGAACCATGCATTACACCCGTTTCACAACAGTTAAAGCCAACCAGGAAGGTCCTTCCATCAATGGCTCATTCTGTCCTGTTCAGTGTAGTTCACTTTGAGTGACTACTCATTTCATCTACAGCCCCGTGATGGGTCGTTTTTAAAAAGGTTTCTCTTTAAGTCTATGTCTGTGTGTCTGTGTGTCTGTTTTTACACATGTGTGCAAATGCATGCAAACAGAAAAATGGCATTGGGTCACCTGGAATTATAGGCAGTTGTGGGTCATCAGATGTGAATACTGGGAATTGAACTCAGGCATTCTAGAAGAGCAGGGAACTCTCAGCTCTTGCACCACTTCTCAAGTTCCCTGTGATAGCTCTTGCAGCTTCAAAGATGGATGTCACCAGGATTCTAGTGTTGACAAAGCCACTGATTAGTGTCTTTCTATATGGGTTCCCTTTGTCTCTCCCTATCATAACCACCATTAAATTTTAGTTTTGAAAGGAAATGGCAGATAACATCCGATTATATGGGAAGACACTGTAGTCCTGCCTGGGAGCTGAGCCCACATAGCCAGAAGATGCAGGGAAATTTTGATTTGCTCTCCAGGTGTAGAGCAATCACTGGTGAAACAAGTTTGCCAAAGATATGTTCCCCTACTTATCCTCCAGTTAAAATATAACTCTTTAAAAGTAGCTTTCAGGCTCACATTTTCCCTGTGGGGCCCGTTCAACCAGGTGACATCTGAAATCACCTGATAGTGACATTGCTGATAAGGGGCCAAGAAATTGGGACTCAGCCTCTAGTGGCAACCCCCAAGAAGCAGGAACTGATAGTGAAACAAATCAAAAGGTTCTTGTTTGATTATGGATGAGGATGGCCCACATGCAACCTCACCCCTAGCCGAGTTGCTGTGGAGAGTTGACGTCAGCTAAGGGAGGGAGAATTGGTTTTCTTTAAGGGCGTGGTCCCTTGTAGACTGACCATGCTGCAGTGATGGCCCCACACCATTGAGTATTTGCACAGCAATGGTTGTACTCAGTATTACACAAACACATAAACACATATACATACACACATATACACACACACATATGACATTAAGTCGGAGGGGGAATGTGAACGGTATGTGCAGGAGGAGTTAGAATATGATTGGAACATAATGCTTGCATTCACTAACTCCTCAAAGAAAAGCAATTTTAAGAATCATTACTAGCATTCATCCTGAAGCAAATATGAGAATATAGTCACAGATTTTGAAACTTATTGTGAATAAGATTACGAAACCATCATCTGTGTTCTCTCTGGCGCTTCATGTGAAACAGTTACTAGGATTAAAATTAAATTTTTAGAAGTTCTTGTCTGGAGCAGAACAGAGGAAGGTGGGAAAGGTTGATGACACTGTGAGCTCTTTGGCTGTGGCCTCTGTTGAGCGGCAGGACTATAACCGCATGCCTGAAGGCTAGAACTGGCAGCAGAGCGGGACCGCATCATCAAAACTAGGCTATAGCATTGTGACTCGCACTCGTTCATGCTGATAAGCGTGACTTGGTGTGAATGATTTATAAGAATGTGGCGTACACCGAAGAGTTGCAATAGAAAGCTGCCTGCTTGGGGTGAGGGGAGGCATCAGGTTGAGACGTAAGGAGGGTCTTACGTGGAGACAAAGGAATAAAGTAGGTAAAATGCAACCAGTAATTATCCTAGAAACCTGGTATTTGCCGAGTGCCTCACTCAGCATTGATTTGTGTGTGTTTTGTATGTGCATGCTGTTGTCATGTCTGCGCATGGGCATGGAGAGGCCAGAGGTCAATACCGGGCGTCTTCCTCAGGTGCTCTCCATCTTATGCTTTGAGTCAAGGTCTCTCTCTAAACCTGGAGCTTGCTGATTCAGCTCTATCTATCTGGCCAGTGAACTCCAGGGATCCGCCTACCTCCACAGTTGTGCACCACTGCACCTGGCTCTTTCATGGATGGTGGAGGCCAAATTTGGGCCCTCTGGCAAGCACTTTACTGACTGAGCCATGTCTCCAACCCCTCCACACTGAGATTCTCAAGTCCTACAGATTTATCTTCATGTGACCTACACTACACATCCTAGTACATTTTCCTTTACACTTCAAATCATCACATTAAATATAGTATTAATATAGCGTGAATATGTTTACTCAAATGGACGTATAATAGCACTTAGAGTGTGGCAAATCAAAATTTTCTTTAAGAAACTTTATAAAAAAATTTCTATTAACTTTTTTTTTAAGTCTCATGTGCCTAAAGCTGAAATTGATGTCCTGATCCTCCTGCCGCCATTCTAGTACTTTTCTTGTTGGATTGGTTGAATCCACAGTGAGGAACCCATAGAAAGAACTGACTATATTTGTGTGTGTGTGTTTATGCTGTATTATATGTATATATATACATATATATGTATATGTACGTGTTATGTATATATGTATATATATATATGCATATATAGCATATTGTCATTATATACTATAGACACATTCGTGTGTAAAAACTTCACACATTTAAGGAGGCCATTTAAGGTTGGACTTAGCACTAGAATTTCTACTAGTAAGTGCTCTTTAGTGAAACTGCTCTGTCTATCAGTCTTCTTATCTTTGCCATTCTTCAAAAGAAGCACAGGAAAGCTGTGTGTCTCTCTCCCTGACTAGCCAGTCAGGCATGTGTCACCAGAACTGAGCAATTGCCATCAGCCACATCAATGAAATCCCTATTCTAGGTGGCCTCAGAGAAGAAACAACACAGGTCTTGTTGCCAAATCCAAAGAAAGCAAAGCCCTTTAGTCAACCTCATCTCACCCACAGAGCCATAAGCACGTCTCAGTTCTAATGTTTCTGGGGTGAGAGGCGCTTTGGGGTATTTATTACACATGAGAGAGCAGTTAAGCACATGCCCCTTGAAGGGCTGCATTTTCTCAAACACAAAACAGGGCACGGTGCTAAAGGACAAGGAAGTCTTTTTCCAGTAAAATTTTCTCTTTAACAGTCAAACAAGTCAGCTTGTGAACTGGGGAGCTAGAACTCAGTTGGCAGATAGACCTGAGGTCAATCCCCAGAACCCATGGAAAAGGGTCTGGTGTAAGGGCATGCCTGTGTAATCTCTTCTCGGGAAGGTGGAGACAGGCACAATCCTGGGGCTTGTTAGAGAGACTGCAGATCCACATGGGCAAGCTAGAGAGGGTCTCTGAAAACAAGGTGGATAGAAAGTAAGGAAGACACCTGAGGTTAATCCCTGGCCACGGTTTCAGAAAAACAAGAACAAACAAAAACAAAAACAACAACAACAAAAACAGCTCAAAGAACTATACAGAAATAAAAATGTATGGAAGAGGTACATGAACCAATAACAGTACTAAATGGTTCAGTAAAAATTTCACCGTTCAGTCATGAACACCTTTATTTGATAATTCTGTAGGGATTTATTGAAAGCCTTTTGAAGAGTAGAATCGCCTCTTTGAGGTAATGTCTGGAGAAATGAGATTCACTAGGTCTGGCTACCTCACAAGCGAGGTATGTCAGCTACTCTCCTCGTGGCTGTGATAAATACCTGGCAAGAATTTAAATTCAATTTAAAGAAGAAAAGTGTATTATGGCTCACAGTTTAAGTGTCTATCGCCCTTCCGAGAGGGGGAAACATGGCAGAAGGTGTGTGGGGTGGCTTGCCATGTTTTAGCCACAGCGAGGAAATAGAGAACAGATTGGAAGTTGGGGCTGGGGAAAGAAACCACAAGCCCTAGTGACCCACTTCCTCCACGGAGGCTCTGTCACCAGCTCGTGGCCACATGTTCAGACGCATGAGCCCATGGGACACGTTTCTCATCAAACTGCAACAAAACTGGACTTGACCCGATTGTTCCCTGTGCAGCAGCTGGAGCAGTGAACCGCTGGACTGTTGTTCTCGGGCACGTTGCTTCCTGAATTAAAGCAGTAATGGTAGAAAATAGGTTCCTATTTTCTTGCTTCTGTATTAAAAATAACGGAAATCTTTCTAGGCAGCCATTTTCTTTAGCTGACTGATTGTGAGATGATGTGGGGTCTGATGACGAATTTGTAGCTAAGACAGCTGTGGTGGGCCAAGAATCCCCCCAACTGTATTTCTTATATTCTCTCAATTTAGCCCTCCCACCAGGACTGTAGACACCTTTACCTCTTCAATTTTACAGGAGTAGAAACAGATGAGAAAGATGACTTTAGGTTGATTTGGTGGTGCACACCCTTTAATCCCAGCACTGAGGAGACAGAGGCAGGAGGATCTTTGAGGACAGCTGGTCCACGTGGCATGTTCTAGACCAGCCAGAGCCACATGGTGAGACCCCATCTAAGAGGAAGAAATAAAGCATCATACTTACTGGAAGGACCACAGAATGATCGTGTGTTGGTAGCACAATCGTCATTAACATGAAAACAGGTTATCATGTTAGAAAAGAGAATACATAAAAGGGAATAGCTTTTCCCCCCAGCAAAAGATTGGCAGCTGCAGTGGGAAGTGTGGGGAGTGGCTCAGCACCAAGCCTGACAATTTGAGTTCTGTCCCTAAGTCCCACAAGATAAAAGGAGAGAATCAATTCCTGTAAATTTTACAGAGAGAGAGAGAGAAAGAGAAAGAAAGAAAAAGAGAAGAGAAAGAGAAAGGAAAGAGAGAGAGAGAGAGACTCTATATTCTGCTTTTGGCAGAAAGAAAGTCCTCTATCTTGGACCTAAGAGTGGTGTGTCTTCCAGCATCTGTGATGCAGTAGCAGGTTAACTTGACAGTGTCTACAAAGGATGGAAACCCAGTCTCTGCCTATTCTTGATGAGACCTCACAGATGGTACCATCAAAACTTGAGAGAGAGGAATTTGATTCTGACCTTCCCAACATTTAATACTCCTGACGTTGCATCACGTACAGTCAACTCACTTCTGGTTGATTATAGACTTTTTCAAAGGACAAGGTATTTGGATGGCGTTTTGAAGGATAAGTGGAATTTTAACAGAAGGCTAAGGGAGAAAGAACACTCCAAAAGAGGGAGCAGTGTGTACAAAGGCTGAAGGCCAGGAAGCATAGAATGTGTTATAACACCGCTGCTGAGCGGTGCCCAGCAGAACTTTGCCGGCCTGGAGTGAGAGATGAGGTGAGGGATGCAGGCAGAGGCCAGGATGCAGGAGCACATGGCAACTAGTAGGGAAGCAGCCTGGTTAGATTTGTGCCTCTGAAAAACCCAGGTGGAACAGGGTGGGGGTGGACTGGTGCGGGAAAGGAGTTGCAGTAAGGAGCAATTGAGATAGCCTAAGTAAGAACTCGAAGGCCTGGACTCCAAGAATCTGTAGTGACAACATCAACATTTTAACTTAAACTTAACATTGGGTAGAGTAGCTCTTAGCCCTGCACTGCTCCAGCCTGGCCATCTCTATGTTTAGTTTCTAGACTTTTAAACATTTGCAAACATTTCTATAAGAAGTTTCTTTAAACTAAATGTGATGCATTCTTGCAAAGGCGCACTTGAATTAAAAGAATAATTTCTTTCTTATTAGTTTAAGCTAGCAGTAAGATGAGGGATTTAATTGTGACAGCTTTATGTGTACTGTGTTCTTAATTCTCCCTCATCTACTCCCCTCCTCTTGACTGCCCCCCCAACTTGGTGATTTCCTTCCTTCCTCCCAATGACACCCCAGCACGTGTATAGCATTACCCTTTGTCTTTGCTGTCCGCTCCTTTAAGACCTCATTTTCTCCCTGTTATGGTACCTGGAAGCTCTTGAGTGAATGAGCACACACACACACACACACACACACACACACACACACACACACACTAAAGCTTAGAAAGCTCTTATGGGAGGAAAGCCGAGGTGTTTGTTTTTCAGAGTCTCGTGCAGTTCGCTTAGTGTAAAGACTTCCAGTACCACCCACTTTCCTGCAAAAATCATGCCCAACATTTGTTTACGCTGAATAAAGTTCTGTTGCGTACATGTACATTTTCTTTACCCAGTCATCTGCTCACAAATACCTACTTCACTTCTTAGCTACATGACTAGTACAGCAATAAACACGAGTGCGTAAGTGGTTCTGTGATTTGACTTCAAGCCCCTCGGGTTAACAGCTGCGAATGGTAGAGCTGGGTCAGATGATAATTATGCTTTCAGCTGCTGAGGGAAGATCTGTCTGTGTCCATAGTGACCATATCAACTTTGTTTCTATCAGCAGCGTATAAAGTTTTCTTTTCCCCCATGTCCTCACCAATATGTATCGTCCTTTGTTTTCCTCACGTCAACCATTTTGGCCAAGATAAGAAAGATAGAGGCTCCAGCAAAAGGAAGATCAACGGCTAACGGCTGGTACTGCTCTTGAAAAAGACCCAGAGCTCAGTTCCCAGCACCACAGCTAACAACTACCTGGAATTCAATGCAAAGTGAGTCTTTGTGTTGTGATGTCTCCAGCCTCTGAGGACTCCTGCACCCACAGGCACATAACCACATAGGAACACAGAAACCTATACATAACTAAAAACAAAATAGATCTAAACTTTAAAAACAAAACCCGTAACATCAGAAAAGTTTTAGTTTTTAAGACTCTCAAAGTGGTTTTAATTTATCTTTGGCAGAGGGCTAAGGAGAGTGAATGCTTTTCAGATACTTATTGCTCATTTCCGTTCTGTTTGAGAACTGTCTCTTCACTTCCCCAGGCAGTCTGTGGACTGGAAGATTTGATTTTTGGTTTTACATTTTTGCCATTCTTTCCCCATCTAGATATCAGTCCCTCCCTGACACTGGATTGATCGAAAATGCCTTCCTTTTGCAGGCTGCCTCTTTGTGCTGGTGATTGCTCGTCCTCATTCAGGGGCAGCTTACCTTCATGTAATCCCACTTGCCCGTTCTTAGGGTCATTTCTTATGCTCTTGGAATCCTTTACTCCTGTGTCTTTGCCTGTGCTTACATCTTGACGTGTTTCCCTTTTGTCTTTTCCCCAGCAGTTTCCAAGATTCATGTCTTACGTTAACATCTTTGACCCACTCCGGACTTATTTTTGTGTGGGGCAAAAGACACAAACATAATCTCATTCTTCTGAATGTGAACATTTATTTCCACCAGCATCATTTATTGAAAAAGTTATCTTTTTTTTCTAATTTGATTTTTTTTTTTTTTTTGTCAAAAATTAGGTAGAAGTAGCTGGATGGACTTGTTTCTGGATCCTTTATTCTGTTCCATCGGTCTACATTTGTATTTGTGTGTTGCTATTTGTCACTATGGCTCTGCAGTGTAATTTCAGACGATATTGTAGCGTCCCGGCACTGTTCTTTGCAAGTGAATTCCTCCTTTCTCCCTGTCCGCTTTATTTTCCTCTTCTTAAACTATGTTTGACTGTGATGTGTAGTAATGCTTGAACACACCTTGAGGACAAAATTGATACAAAGAAGAGGAGAAGTCAGAAGAAACAGAAGAGCTATCATAATCTTGGGTTAAACCACTGTGCATGTGAAAGAAAGGATGTCTGTTTTTATGCCATCCTTAATGCTTTAGGGGGGAAAACGGAAGCAAAAACACTGCCTTCAAAATAACTGGGGATGCCTCCGCTGCAAAGGGGGCAGGCAGGTAGCAGTCCCTACAGTGAGTTTCCTCTAACAGCCACACTGCTGTTTGTTAAAAGAATCTACAAATAAATGATAACTGCCTAGGGGATAGTTAATTAAAAATTTAGCCATTTAGAAAAGAGTCCTATTTGGCTTAGAATGCACAAATCAGAGAGAAATTCTTTACTGTTCTTGTCTTCGTTGCATGTCTAGTTTTCCCCATGACATCTGTCTATACTGCAAATTGCTACAATCCCATCAAAGGCGACATCAGCCCTCTTTAATTGTTTACAAACCGGGAGTAGTATTACATTCTTTCTCAAGAGAGCCTATGAAAATTTACTTGCTTAATTGAAAGATAGTTTGTGTGCAAGAAGAAAATGGTTTATCTAGAGGCCCACAACCCCAGGAAGAAAAATGGTGTTTTCCTTTGTGTCAACTTCTCTGGGCTTCAGCACGGAATGTGAGCAAGTAAAGCAAAACTGACATTTCTGAAATACGCCTATACATTTCGTAGCCACAAGTTTAAAGCAGGAAAGACTGTCAGTGAACAATCTCTGTCTTACAGGTATTATACCTGTGGTACTCTTTCTGGTTGCAAAGCCGACAGTTTCCTCATAATTTCTTGTGGCGATTTGATATTACAAAGTGAAAAATGAAGAGAAAGTAGAGGACTTGGGAAAGTGTATCAGCAACCGAACAGCCACTGCTGGAGAAAACAAAAGAACAATGGCTTCTAATCAGAAGGGACAGAGCACTAACATTCACGACCCAGCAGGAGCTCTGGGGAACCTGACGCTTTTTTTTCCCCCCTCAGAACTGGACATCTGCCATTCCTTACTTATGATGGCCACACTTGTGACCTTCTGTATCTGGCTTGTCCATCTGTGTCTCCGAGAAGTGGCTTTCCTGTATTAGAATTCTGTGTTGATAGTGTTTTTTGTTTTGTTTTCCTTTCCCTCTTGAAAGTTAGCATTTCGTTGTCTTCTGGCCAGCACCATTTCTGATGAGAAGTCAATTATCATTCTTATCGCTGACCCCACGAATGCTTTAATTGTTAATCTTTTGCTCCACTCTGTCCCGATTGGGTATGTCAACCACTGCTAAAGTTTACTAATGCTGTCACCTAAAACTCAAGTGACTGTTAGTGGTATCCATCATGTTTTAAATTTGTATTTTAGGGCCCTGAAACCTTTCTTCTGTCCTCTGAAATACTTGTCTTTTCCCATTATATCAAAATTCTCCTTACTTTCTTTAAAATGTTTATTATAACTGTTCCAAAACCAATTCCAATAACTGGACCTAACTATGAGTCTGTTTCTATTAAGTATTCTTATGCTTTTTATTATTGTTCTGTTGAGGACAAATACTTATATCAGAATTTCTTCTCAGGAAATAAAACTATCCCCACTGTCTTCTTACCCAACAGAAAGCTCATTTTAATGAAATGTGGCTTAGTAGTCTTCAACTAGTTTTTTCTTTCTTTCTT